GCAAAGAGGACTTGAGAGCAGATAAAAATAAAACACAGAAACATATTTTCATCTAGTTAGTTGGACTTTAATAACATTTGGGCTACAATAAAGCTGGAGGCTGATGCCATGATTGTGTCATATTAATACAAGAAGTGATCAGTTTGAGGGAAATCTTCCTGATTTCTGAACTGTATCAGAACTTTTTTTATTTATTTTTTTTTACAGCAGTTTGCCATTAAACTCCCATTAGGAGGGTTTCAGCATAACTAATGTTCTGATTTATAATGTATATTTAATAACTTGATTTTGATACTTTGACAAATAAGAAATCTCACAGAAATCCAGGTAATGAATCACCTGCAATGGAATAAAATCCTTTTATAGACTGTGTTCAATCAAAGGGGCTCTGCATCCCTGACAGTATACATAAAGCTGCTGGTTGCATAATATCTCATGGCCATACATCCAGTGTGTGATACAGTGAGGAACTCATTCCTGCGGGCCACACAGCCGACACACTGTTCCAGGATCTGGCATATATGCCAGCCCAGCCCATAAAAACCTCTATCACTTATACCAGTAATTATAGTGAACCAGAAGGATCTTCTCACAATTTGCGCTCCGATTTAAATTTTGCTTCATATGTCAATTAAACATGAAACAAATAAATGCCAGCAGTGTTAGAGGATATTATACAGGAGAAAAATACAAAAAAGTAAAATGTTGGTATGTCAAGAAGGAGGCAAAGGAAGAAAAAAAAAAAAAACTACTACTAATTTGTCAAGACAATATTTTGTTTTAACTACAGTTTGATTTTCAAGTTCCTTATATGCGATTTTGTTTACGTTTTTTTGTGCTCCTTATCAAATCGGGTCATTTTTTTAGGATTCAGATCAATCCTGAAAGCTATCCTGTCCCGGAGCTGTTCAGAGTACGTTACTACGGTGACTAGCAATCCAGCTTTGCAGTAGTGGAAAGTCAGAGTTAAACCTGAAGTTGTCTTCCTATCCCAGCAATCCTGCTTCGTGGTACTGGCATCCGGTTGACAACACTCCAAAGTGTGGATGTTGTTGCTGATTAAAGGTCAGCTAGAGATTCATACATGCTTGAATGGTGCCTTCATGGGTTTCATAATTATGGTAAATACAAAAGCCGACATGAAAAATTGCACATGAACACCCATTCATGTCGTAATTTCCACTGGAAAGCTGGGAAAATTCTATAATCGGCGAGTTGCTCACATAAACTTTGACCTTTCAACATGGCGGAGAGCAGTGAAACGATTCTATATGTAGTATACTGCATCGTTTAGCTTTCTCTTCCGTTTGTCTATAGCCTACAAAATGCGGTGACATGTATAGTAAAAAAAAAAACATAACACTTAAACTTGTTTTTAAAATGACCATTATTGTTTGATTTGATCAGATGCTCACCAGCAATCGGTTGGTACATTCAATGCATGTTCTTCCGTTAGCAGATGAACTAGCAAGTCTTCCTTTAGCAAGTCTCCTCCTGTACCTTCCTGGTCAAGATAATCTTTGGATCCAACATGTTTCTCTTCTTTACCACAACAAAAGCACTTCAGCACAGTGCGCTGGTAATTTCCACTTTACAAGTGGTAAGGATCGTCTTTACCACACCACATGGAGGCAGCATAAAGCACAAGCCTATTCAGGCTAGGCACGGTCAGACTGAAAACACTTCTTTTCCTTTTATCTCTGGACAACAATCATTTTGAAGAACAGTGTAAGCAGAACCACTTATTGTTATAAAGGCATTGCACTTGTTGCCATTCAAAAAAACAACAAAACATTAAAAATTTACATTTAACTAAATATAAGATTTTAGATGCAGAAAGTACAATTTAGCTTGACCATTAAAATAGTCTTTCATTCATCAGGGATTTAGATATATTGACCTTAATAATGTTGGTTAGCTTTGATCATTTTAATGAACATCATAATGGCGCAATGATTAAAAATAAGCCGATATTAAGAACAACATTTATTTCCTTGTAGTTGGTGGTTTTGTTTCAGTAGGGGGGAGTGTTATGGGATGTTAGTTTGGTCAGTGATTGTGGTGCAGCTCAGGACGGCAGACATTTAACTGAAGCAGAACTATAGTTGGTTTTTCAAGGCGTCGAAAGGGTAAAGAAATATATAACACCAGAAAATATCGGTCATTATTTAGAGAAAAACCGATACATGTCACCCAGCCAATATTTTCAGTTGATATTGGCATGTTTTGCATGTATTGGCTGATTTATTAGAGCATTTAGCAACCATGTCTTGACATCTTGCCGAGTGCGTGCATTTCTACTGTCCTCCATTTGCTATACATTGTTGATGTCTTGTTTCATTTGCTGATATGTTTTGTTTTGTTTTAGATTGAGTCTTGTATAATGTTTGTTGTAATTTTTATAACTTAAAGGAATAGTACACCCAAAACATGATTAGCCTTCATTTTCTACTCACCCCCATGCTGAACAACACTCTGGAGTACTATTTTGATATCTCAAATGCATCTGGAGATCTGGGAGGCTTCTTGCTGTCTGCTGACATTCAAATAATGGAGGTCTATGGTGCCCGAGACAGAAAGGTCCATAAAAGTCCACAAAAAACGTGTCAATATTCCTCCATACTGCTCGTCCAATGTATTCCAAGCGTCCTGAGTGGGTAGCATCCAGAATTTACTCGAAACGAAGTCATTTAGAATGTTTTTAGAGCATAAACAGTAGTGTATCGGATTTCCTAAAAGCGCGTTCACGAGTCTACGGAAACCGCGGCAGACCAAACCAGATGAAAGTGCGCATTCAGCTCGGCAAAAAACTCATGCTCTTCCTCAACACTGAAGTCCTCAGACATTTTTCTTTCGTTGTTTCTTTCTTTGCACAGGTAAGCAGCACATTTCTTCTTCTACGCTTGCATTATTGGCAGAGCAGATGCTGAATGCGCACTTTCATCTGGTTTGGTCTGCCGCGGTTTCCGTAGACTCGTGAACGCGCTTTTAGGAAATCCTATACACTACTGTTTATGCTCTAAAAACATTCTAAATGACTTCGTTTCGAGTACATTATGGACGCTACCCACTCAGGACACTTGGAATACATTGGACGAGCAGTATGGAGGAATATTGACACGTTTTTTGTGGACTTTTATGGACCTTTCTGCCTTGGGCGCCATAGACCTCCATTATTTGAATGTCAGCAGACAGCAAGAAGCCTGCCAGATCTCCAGATGCATTTGAGATATCAAAAAAGTACTCCAGAGTGTTGTTCAGCATGGGGGTGAGTAGAAAATGAAGGCTAATCATGTTTTGGGTGTACTATTCCTTTAAGCGGAGGATGAAAAAGAATAATCGGCTTCAACTTTCTACCCAAAAATAATTGAAGTAAAAATCAGGGTTCAGACTGATGGCACATCAGTATTTTCTGTAATTGAATCTGTATTTTCCAAAGTCTGGGCCAATATCGACCCAGTGCATCACTACAAAATTTAATCCTTAAAATACATTTCTTTCACGACTTTTTGTTTAGCTCAGCTTAAATAAAGTTGAAGGACAAAAATCATCCCAAAAAATTTTCGGGTTTTAAAATTATACAGAATTCTTACTAACTAAAATATAGATTATTTGAAAGTTATTTTAGTCTTGTGTTAGATAAAAGTATCCTTTTTAAATACATACATTTTGTGTATTTTTAAATTTCAACTAAAACCTCGCTTAGAAGCCTTTCCTCTGACAGATTTTGCCTCATGCCACATTAATTTCTAAAGTTCTCAAGTCCTTATTATACAAATTCGAACATAACCAAAAAGAAAAAAAATCACAATGAATTGTTCACAAATTTGCTGATCATCTAAATATATGGATGAAAACAAATCCTGCAAATGGGTAGATGGTACAACTTATGCAAAGAGGGCTACAGGAAATCAGACGGAGAAATAAACTGGAAGTAATTTATTTTTATGCAGGTGCAAGCAAATAAAGACGAATAAATGCATTGCATAATAGATACGTTTGTGGATGTATGAAAGAAAAAACATAAACATTCATAGATAGAAAAATAGGTCTATTTATGGATGAATCCATTGAAAGCGTGATGCATTTATGGGTGGCTCTATGAAAAGATGCAACATGGGAAAAAAAAAGATAAAAAAGGATGTATGGTTGGAAAAAAATAGAAAGCCTTTTTTGATAGATGCTGTTTGGAAGGTAAAATACGTGTGTGGATGGATGAATTATTGCTTTAATGTGTGCATGCATATTATTACTGAATAAATGCATGCATTTAAAATTCAGACAATAAGGCAAGTAGTCCAGAAATAGACATAATTTCTCCTTGCTATAGTTTATTTTTCCAGACTTTTCCAACATTGAAGAACACTTTCCCTGGATTCCTTACTTTTCTACAGAGCGCAGGAGCCCAAAGCAGCTATGAAGGCAGCGAACATGAACAAACTGAGTGAAACAATGCAAACACAGTCCAGGGTAGTTAGATCCATGCTGCTATCAGCTCCTTTCTGTTCAGATTTCAGGCCGGAGACAACACCCAGCCTCAGCTGCCCAACCTGGGGCAGGACAAATCACAAACCTCCCCTCCCACCCCCCGGCGCCTTGTAGCAGCAGCTCCTTAGCCTTTAGCCAACGGCCGACACACTCCTCATACATAAATTAGCTTAGCATAGCTACACCAAAGTCCCATTATAAGCATACAGTTTCAGTCTTTAACCGTCTGCGTGAGTTTGTGAAGCTACCGGGGCAGAGTAACAACCAAGCGGGGGTGTCTTTGTGTGTCTGGACGTGGCTGTGCAGCGGTGGCGGGTGTTGTAGTAGTAAATACCGATGTATGAGTGCCCAGCTAGCTGGGCTCCACAACCAAACAACTACGAGGTTTTTTTTTTCTCTCTCTCTCTTTCTCACGGACAGAAATGAACATTCATCCCTCCTCCGCCAGTGAGCTACCTGCTGCCCTTTTGCTCTTTAAAATACCACATATCAAAAGGAGACACGAACAGTACCTGGTTCTCCATGTTTCTCCGGCCTCTGTGATTGTTGTAATTATTTACAGCGGCGTTGGTGGAGCGTCTCCCCGGCCTCTCTGCTCCTCATTGTGTGTCAATCCAGCCCCAGAAGCGGAAGGCAGACGGGTCCCCTCCCCTTCCAGACGGCTTCTGGCAGACGATCAAAACAGAAAGCTGTCCGGACCAATCAGAGAGCCGCGAACTCAAGCCTTGGTCTGATAAATGACCAATAGGAAGAGAGGAAGGGCGGGGCTTAAGCTGGTCTGCAAATACAATTGAAGTATTTTCTGGTGGTTGTCTCGAGTGACAGCAGGAGAGTCCCAATAGTTAACGCTCAGTTTCAATTATAAATTCCACTTAGTACTAATTGATTACTACCCCATCAAAAGCGATTTTATAGTGAATAAAAAATGAATATTTTCACAATTTATAGTGAATTGTGAAAATATTCATACCTATTGCACTTTATCATATTTTGATACGACTTATTATACTTTTAACTATAGGATTTATCATAAAATACAATACAAAGTAAATAAAAAAGCCTGAATCTCACATTTTACAACACACATGGATCTGCAACCTTGAGATAACGATACCCCTAAATAAAATCCACCAGAACCAATTGTCTTCAGAAATCACAAAGTTTATCTAAATATCTGTGTTGTAACTAATACTTAGTATAAAAACTAATGTTGATTAAAGGGGTTTGTTAGATACTGTAACAGTGAGAAACAGAAATTGTGAAAACTGAGTTACAAAGAATGCTTAAGAATGCTGTTACATTGCTTGAAAAAACAACACTTTATTTGTATTTTTTAACTTTTAAATAGATTTAAAAAAAAACAAACAAAGAAATGCATCATAAAGAGGAAACCTGGATTTTGGAAAAGAATAGAACCCAAAACATATTTCTGTTACTTTTAATGTCACTGTGCTGTGAATTAAATTCTGTTAGATAATTCTCTTAAAAACCCACAAAGCTTCTGGTATTTGTAATCATACTCAAACTTATTAAAATCCACATCATGTGTACAAATATTTGGTTTAATTAGTTGCATGATTCAGAAAGTGAAAATCCCATATTTCAACTCATAAAATACAGATACATTTTATATTTATAGTTTATATCTTTTTTGATGTTATAATTAAAACTTGTAAGCTTATGACAGCCTAAAATTCAGTTTCTCAAAAAATGGTATGCTAGTGACGGAGGATTGCTGCAAAGTTAATGACACGATGCAAGCAATTATCCAGGGACTCAGTCTAATCTGCTGGGTTTGCTTAGACAGGAAACTGTTCAACCAGTTTGAAGCATCACTGTATCATTACTAGAAAGTAGGCAACTGACATTGAATCTCTCTATTTGATTGACTTAAATTCTCTTACAGTTTTTCTCAAATGCTAAAACACAAAAGCCAATCCTCTAAACCAAATGACCAGTTGTCTAAACACATTTACTAAATCTAGCCATCATTTTCCAATATCATAAACACATTTCACATGAAGACACAATTCACAAAACACAATCCTCTATTCGCATAAATCTTAACACATTTTTCCTTGCTAAAACACAAGTTGCAAAAGAACTCTGCTCATATTCTCAAATGAAAGCTCATGTGATGCAAAATGCTTGCCACAGTCAGCAATATTTGAACAAAATGAACACACCTGGCGTCATTCATTACACACAACGACTCAAAATTGAAAACACCTGTTGCTAATGCTGAAGATTCCAAACAAACACAATGGATGAAGGCAGAGTCAGGGGAAGAGGTAATCGCGTCAGAGGAGGGAGAAGAGCTGGCCAAGGAGGAAGAGGAGCAGGCCAGGGAGGAAGAGGAGCAGGCCAGGGAGGAAGAGGAGCAGGCCATGGTGGAAGAGGAGCAGGCCAGGGAGGAAGAGGAGCAGGCCATGGTGGAAGAGGAGCAGGCCATGGTGGAAGAGGAGCAGGCCAGGGAGGAAGAGGAGCAGGCCATGGTGGAAGAGGAGCAGGCCAGGGAGGAAGAGGAGCAGGCCATGGTGGAAGAGGAGCAGGCCATGGTGGAAGAGGAGCAGGCCAGGGAGGAAGAGGAGCAGGCCAGGGAGGAAGAGGAGGAGGCCAAGGAGGAAGAGGAGAAGGCCAACAAGGGAGAGAAGGTCCAGGAGGGAGAGCAAGACAACCTCGTACTATCATTACGGAAGAGATGCGGGCAACAGTCATTGACCATGTCATTGTCCATGGCATGACAATGGCTGAAGCAGGACTAAGAGTCCGTCCAAACCTGAGTAGGTTCACCGTGGCCACCATTATCAGGGCATTCAGACAACACAACAGGTATTGTACTCTATTGCTTTCTTTGTCACAATACAATTTTACAAGCCTGTGAAAGTAGTCTATTACAGTAGTTTCAAATCAGTTGTTACTGTATTGTAAAACATGTCAATTGACGACACGTTTCTTTCTTTAGAGTTGAAAGAATGCCACATAGAGGTGGGTGGGCTACCATATTCACAGCGGCACAAGAAACCCCCATTGTGGATATGGTTTGTGAGAACAACCTCATCAGACTCCGGGAGATCAGAGACAAAGACATTGACGATAATGTGAACTTTGAGGGCATTGATGATGTCAGCTTGGCCACAATAGACCGAGTTCTCCTGAGCCAAAAGATGCGGATGAAACAAGTCTATAGGGTTCCCTTTGAGCGAAACTCTGCACGACAAGACCTACGTTACGAGTATGTGCAAGTAAGTATACATCCATGTTCACAGTACAGTTAGTAAACATACTGTGTTGCTCAGTGGCCTACATTACTTCTGGACAATACAGTACGTAATATGCTACCTGATTGACTGTTGCTCTGAACACCTGTGCACTTTCACATTTTCACAGAGGATATTACAGTTTGACGCGATGGCCAGACCTCATGAGTACCTCTTCCTGGATGAGGCTGGCTTCAACCTGCACAAACGAAGGCAAAGAGGCCGTAACATCATTGGCCAAAGAGCCATCACTGAGGTTCCTGGCCAACAGGGGGGTAATATTACTCTTTGTGCGGCCATGGGTTTGGAGGGGCTTGTCCACCGGCAGGCTGTCCTTGGGTCTTACAACACCCAACATCTCCTAACCTTCCTAGAGGAGCTAAAAGATATCCTCCTAGACCGCCAACAACACCATCCTGGGCCCGAACATCCCATTTATGTGATCATTTGGGACAATGTACACTTCCAAACAACAAACCAAATCAGTGAGTGGTTCACCACCAACAGTAACCACTTTTTAAACGTCTGTCTGCCACCCTACTCCCCTTTCCTGAACCCTATAGAGGAGTTCTTCTCATCGTGGAGATGGAAGGTTTATGACAGACAACCATACACTAGAGCAGTGGTTCCCAAAGTGTGGGGCGCGCCCCCTAGGGGGGGCGCAATGCCATTGCAGGGGGGGGCGCGGGAAGCGGTATGGATGAATGAAGAAAAAAAACAAAAAAAAAAAAAAACAGCGCTTGCTTGACTGAGCATAATGGACAGTTGTGACACTGCAACCCAGATTTGAGAAGATCTACAGCAAAAAGCAGGCTCACTACAGCCACTGAAAAGATGGGAGGATTAAAGTACAAAGAAAAAACTCTCAGGGAGCTGTTCAATGTTTTCACTGCATTTTGCACAGAGGCTTTTTAATGTATAGATTATAGCAAAGTTAAATATTGTAACAAATAAAAAAAAAGAAATATGTTTAAAATAACACAGACAACAAAGAATCCTCTTCTAATCTACAGTATAGAACTATGAAAAAAATACAGTTGTTCCACTTTAAAGATGGTGTAGTTTGTTTTGTTGCAACCTGAAGTGTGAAATAAACTTCAGTGGACTTTGAAAACAAAATATGCGTATAGGTTTATTATATCTGGTTGAACGATGAGTGTGCCCAGTTTATTCTTTTTTTTGGCGGGGGGGGGGGGGGGGGGCGTGGAAATTTAATTGTAATCCAAAGGGGGGCCCAGAAGAAAATCTTTGGGAACCACTGCACTAGAGAAAACCTCCTAAGGGCAATGGAGCTGGCGTGTGTTGACATCCCAGTGGAGAACTTCCAAGGATGGATCCGCCATTCCAGGGCGTTTTTCCCACGGTGCCTGGGAAGAGACAATATAGCCTGTGATGTGGATGAGGTGATGTGGCCTGATGCAGCTCAGCGACATGATGCCGCACAGTGATTGTGGTGTAAATACTGTAAAATTAATAAAAAAACTTCACACCCTGATCATGTTTTCAAAAGTACTGTTGTGTGCAATAGATTCTGCTTTTGCAGTGAGTTGTGTTACAGTAGTGTACAGAATTTACTATAGATTTATACCCTTCATATGAAACTCACAAATCTAAATGCCCAATCCTCTGCAGAAGATCCATAATTGTAAAGTTTCTAAAAATATGCATTGGCAGTAACAAAGAACCTTCTCACAAATTGAGCATTGTGTTTTCAATTGTTTTGCTGTAGTGTGTAATGATGTGTATAGTGTTTACATTTTTGAAAGCTTCGAGCTGCTCTTTTGGTGTGAAAGTTTGAGTTTTGAAGGGAGAAGGTGTGGTTGTGTTTATGTAGCTTTAGAAAAGGATGTTGTGTTTAGACATTGAAGAACATGGACGAAACGTTTGTGAAATGTGTTTTAGCATTTGAGAAAAACTGTATTATTTTGTAAGGCGCATTGAAGTGAATTGTTGTTAACAGAATATATAAACAAGCTGAATACTGTTATACTGATGTGAAAGTTGAGTGGAGGGAAAATATGTGGTAGAGCAAAACTTGTAGATGTAGACGAGACGGTGGAGAAACTCAATAGGTATTGACCGCTGCTGGAATTTATGCTTCAAAAAACAACGTTACTTTTCTTTATTATACATTTTCTTTTTTTTCACCAGCTATATGAAACAGCCGGAATTTTTAGCAGATATATACTTCTTAGGTTGTCATAATCCGTAAGCACAAACAATCAAAAATGATGATGATGTATGATTCTGAGAGAATCTTATCTGTTAATTAGTTTCATAGATGGAAATACTGAAATTAAATAATTTTGCATTGATTTTAACATTTATTTACATCAATATTGATATATTGCTGTGTCAAAACTGTATTTACATGGTTTAGCAGCATCACTATGTAAATGATCATTGATAAGCAGCAGAGGACATCTGTAGTGATGGATGTGGCCCAAATCTATCTATCTATCTATCTATCTATCTATCTATCTATCTATCTATCTATCTATCTATCTATCTATCTATCTATCTATCTATCTATCTATCTATCTATCTATCTATCTATCTGTCTATCTATCTATCTATCTATCTACATATGTATAGATTAAGTATAACACAGGAAGGTTTAAGCTTTTGAGAGTTTAACGTAGATCATGTAAAGTATATTAAGATTTATGACTGTGAAAAACAATCAGGTTCTGATCCAGTTCTGTGTATTTGTTTACTCTCATAAAGTGAACGTTCACTTACCCAAAACAAACCTCCCAGACCCACAAATATCACAGATTCCTCGTTTCAAGCAGAACAGCAAACCTCAGATTGGCAGCTGCTGCTCTCTAGTGGCAAGTTTAAAGAACTGCTTAATTATGCCTTTTTATATTTTCTAATAATAGAAATAATAATAATAATAATAATAATAATAATAATAATAATAATAATAATAATAATAATAATGATAATAATGATAATAATAATAAAAATCTAATAATAAACTACTAGAAGGACCTACCCATGTAATAATTAAATTAACTAACAAAAACCTGACAGCATTAATCTGATAAGTTCTTTTAGTTGTTTAAGTGGACCCTACAGCAAACCATTACACCTCGCTTTAACACCAAATACCCTTCCAGACATTTCCAGGATTTGTACCCATGTCCCAAATCTCAGTACCAAACACTCAAACTTCTACACTGCAGACAATTTAACCTTTGCTGCCATAGATCATACATTATCGCAGAAACTCTGGGATGTGCACTGATATCTTTCAAGCAGCTGATCTGCACACATTTCTATACACATTTATAAACATATAAATTAGATTAAGTATAGATGTATTGGAAGAGTATAAATACAGCACTCTTTACCTCTACCAGAAAGTACAAAGCAGACTGTACTTTTTAAAGAAGCTTAGTTTAAGGAAGCTTAATGAAGCTCCGTTAGTGTTTGTATCTATATCCCTCCACCTCTATAAAGGAAAGAGTCTGCCACTGTGACTTCACAGATCTTTGTTTAGAGGACTAATGTCTTTCTAGGTAAGAAATTTAGGGTCAGAGAATACAAAGTGAATCACATTGTATAGGCATGTAGAAAAAATACTTTTATTTAAGGAGGAATGCTCCTTTTAAGGTTCTTTATTTCCAGCAATAATATTATCTACAGCCACAATTCTAATCTCTTTGGCTCCATAAACACATCACAATGGCTTTGAAAAAATAAAATAAACATATGTTATGTGTCTAAACTGCGGAATTTCAGCTTTTTTTTTACAGCACAATTTAGTACATGGACAATTCAAAGTGCTTTACGCGAATTAGATAATAAACTAGAAGAAAAATAAAAGCAGATTAACAGATAAACATTTGTAAACAAATAAAACAATCCATGGGCATGGTGGGTTTGAATCCTGATTGCATCAATATTCATCTCAATTCGGTTTATTCATATAGCTCCAATTCACAAGGCATGTCATCTTAAGGTTCTTTACAGAGACAATTCAACCAGATCATACAGTCAAATGGGTTCAACGTTTTCTATCTGAAGAAAACCAGCTGATTGCATCGATTCATTGACTCAAAAGCAATATCTCACACCAAGCACGCTTGTAGCAACAGTGGAGAGGAAAAACTCCCTTTTAAACTGAAGAAAGATAGAATGCAGCAGAATGATTTCCTCCAGCAGTCTAAGCCTATAGCAGCATAAATACAGAGATAGCTCAGGATAACCTGAGACCCTTTAACTAGCCCCTTATCAAAAAGGAAAGTTTTACCTCTTGCTTTAAAAGTAGACAGTGTCTGCCTAATGGACTAAAACTGGTAGTTGGTTCCCAGGAGAGGAGCCTGATAACTAAAAGATCTGCCTCCCATTCTATTTTTAGGAATTCTAAGAACTACTACAGGTTGAGTGCAAAGTGCTCTGTTAGGAACAGAAGGAACAATCATATCTCTAATATAAGAAGGAGTTTGGCAATTTAAGGCTTTATATGTGAGGAGGAGGATTTTAAATTAGATTCTGGATTTAATAGGAAGGCAATGAATAGATGCTAGGATAGGAGAGACATGATCTCTCTTTTTAATTTTCATCAGAACTTTGGCTGCAGCATTTTGGATCCGCTGAAGGCTTTTAACTACAGTTTGTGGACTTCCTGATGGCAAAGAATATAATAGTTCAGCCTTGAGGTACAAATGCATGGACTTGTGATCTATGATTAATTTAATCCCTTCCAAATTCAGCGACTGACTAATCAGCTTCTTTTTCAAAGACTCTGTTCCAAAGACTTTAACTTCTGTTGTTGTCTGATTTCAGAAGTAGAAAGTTAAAAGTCATCAAGGTTTTTATGTCATCGAGACATGCTTGTAGTCTGTGTCATGGGTTAGCTTAATCTGGATTTATAGACAGATATAGCTGAGTATCATCAGCATAACAGTAGAAAATAATCCCATGCTGTGGCAGGAGATATCTTAAACTTACAGGCTTGGTGCAGAAAAACAACTCACCTGATATAAAGAGACCCATAAAACGAATATTTATTCCTACTATGCTAACACTAATGAAAGAAATAAGGCTTTTTTTTAGATGGAAACCAAAATTACCTGGAAAAAAGCCTTCATACACAAGGGAGAACATGCAAATTTGATTAGGAAAGACATATCACCTTGTCTATTGCAGCTTAACAGAGACACACATAAAACAAATATTTAAACCTACTACGCTAACACTATTACTAAATAAGGCTTTTTTGGTTGGCCAGAGCACCTGGAGTGAACCTATATAAACTAAGGAAAACAGGCAAACTTGATTAGGAAAGAAAGGTCACCTGGTCTATTGCAGGATAACACAGAGATACACATAAAACAAATACTTAAACCTACTATGCTAATAATATTACTAAAAAATAAGGCTTTTGTGGTTGGCCAGAGCACCTGGAGTGAACCCAGTCAATTACTGACTAAAAAAAAAATGACATAAATAAAAATGTATATGAAAACTAAAAAAGTCAGGATCATGATTTGGATGATCCTGCATGGCTTTGCTGAATCCTAGAATTCAGATTCAGCAAAGCCATGGTGAAATCCAGTACCTGTACGTTGACTGGGGTGTAAAAAAATCCTTTACGATTTGAAGGGCTACAACTTGTACTTTTTGTGCTAAGGCCATCTCCCTGTCTTCTTGTTGAAATTGGTCTTCTTTTTGAATGTGGATCATCTTTGACTCACACAGCTTGTGGTTAAGGTGAATGGTTTCAGTTTTTAAGGCTTTAATCTCTGATTTTAGCTTTATATTGTGCTGTTCTTTACTGCTGACTGCATCCAGAGAATTTTTTAAATTGTGGTGCTTCTGTTTAAGTTGTTTGTTATTCTGTTTCAGTTCCATTTTTAACTCTTGAAAAGACGTTGGTAGCTTTTCATTGTCAACCTGTATATTTGTAAGCTGTTGAAGTTTTTGATCTTTTTCATCGAGTTTCCTCTTAAACTCATTCATCTGTTGTTGCAAATCGGTTTTCATCGTTTTACAACATGCCATCAGACGTTTGTTTTCTTGCTTTAGGTTCTGACATTCTGTTTGGAGTGAACTAACCTGTGCTCTGAGACAATCATTTTCATCAGAAAGCTCCTCAATTTCTGTACAAAGTTTGGTTTTCTTTTTTTTTCCGCAGCGCTCAAGTTTGGTGCGAAGACTATCCATAGTATGTTGTAGTTCCTGGTTTTCTTTCATTAAATCTTGGTGAGACGAAAGACTACTATGGTCTTCGCTCTGAGAGGTAAGACGCTGTCTTCTCCGACCCATTTGAATGATCTGTATGAAGAAATCCTGTTTCCTGAAGATTTGGTCACTGTGACTGAACACGTTGCCTGTCCTTTGTCAGAATGATGAGGTTAAGGAAAGTACTGTTCTCATAGAAAACTAAATGATGATGTCACTGTAGGGGCGGAGCTAGAATTAGTAAAGCTTCTAAGTGATGCCTGTGAATGATGTCACAGTGTCACATGGGGCATTCCATGTGTAAATGGAGTGTGAGGGGGGGTATGTTACATGGGCCATTCCATGTGTAAACGGTGTGGGGGTCGAGTGTGTGTTATGTGGTCCAGTTCATGTGTATGTGGGTGAGTGTTGTTTGTTTTTTAGAGGGGTGGAATAGATTTTTATTACAAGGATTAGTTGTGTTCTTTTTAAAGCTTATTTTGACCTTTCTCTGTTCTTTCTACTTTGTAAGAAATTATTCTTTTATAGCGTTTACAACTAATAACTGAGAAGGCACGGAAATTACAACGGTAAAATTTTTACTAATATAGACATCGTTAGACATCAAACATCTCATGATGAAAAAATCGCCGCATAGCATCCGTTTTTTGACATCAGAAAAGTTAGTTCATCATAGCTAATGCTTAGCATCTTGCTAAAAAAACTTATCTCCTCAAAAATTTGTCTGCGATTTTTGGTATGTTTCTTTACATTGTCTTCTTACATAAAAGTCAAAATTATCTGCATATTTGTGTGACTTGATTTGAGTCAGGGAGAGTCGCTGAAGTCTCACAAATGCTCCTTGCCTGTCAGCCAGTGACGCACAGAGTAGAGCGATATTACACCTCATATAGTCCTGCTGTTATTGGTTAAGTTATTTCATTGGTTTTGTAGCCAATGAAATAAGGTATCAAAAAGTGCAGACATGGCTAGGTTTCATAAAGGAGAGCCGTTACCGGCTTGCGTAAGAGTGAAATACATAGCTGAGGAAAGTGCAGAACAAATGTCTCATAGTCTGAAATGAATGAAAATAGTTGATTTAATGGTTATTGAGTCAGATATGTGGCGGTAATGTTTGGTTATTTTGTAGATGTTTAGATTTACTTATATCTCTCTACCCCTTTTATAGAAGAGAATAGAAAATCCCTTTATTGTCCCACAATGGGCAGATTTACAGCAGCAGAAAGATTATTGAAAATGGTCACACAAATTAGGACCTTAGAAAAATGTATAAGAATAACATAATAGGGAAGAGTTAAAATATAAAAAATACAATTCTGTAAAGTGTTTTAACAATATAAAACTGGAGAATAAATAACCAATATGCAGCTATGGACATTTTTACAGTAATGGATATTTGAAAATAGCAGCAACATCAGAGATGTGCAGAATGACAGCAGCAGGTTATTTAACTGACTAAGGTTTCTATCATTAGATTTTATTTGTTCCTGCTCCCGTTGGTTGGAACCTTTATTCCACTCTGGATTCTTGTGAGTGTAGTCTTTGTTCACTTTAACTTTAAAAAAATAAATAAATAAACAAACAGTTTTGAAAACCTCGGTATTCATTCTTTTCCTGCTTTGTGTGTCAACTTTCACGGTTGCTAAGCAACAGAGCATACCCGCCGAAGGGTAGACCTGTTCGAATTTACAGCCAAAACTCTTCCGGCCTCCTTATTTTCAAGGACTTCGAAGGATCCAGTCTAGGTAGACCGCGTCCTTGGAGGATGCGTCCTAGGTTTTCGAACAGAGCAAGAGCCTCTGATTAAGAACAGGGCTGCCCGCACTGACGCGGCTCAGGGATTACGTCACACGGAGCGTCGTGCGCAGTGAAATCAGGACATTTCCTCACCCGGGACAGGACGTGAAATACGGATATGTCCCGGGAAAAACTGACGTTTGGTCACCCTATCCAGGTGTCAACTATCCACCCATTAAACTCTGCATTAAATCAAAGTTATCCAGCCTACATTTTCAGTGCTTCTTCATTTGTGCAGGTGAAACTATCATTTGAGCTGATTTGGTTTTTAAGATTAATTATTTATATTACAGCTGACATCACAAACCCGGCAGACATTAGTGCTGTGCGTTCCCGATAAAAAGATACTGCATAACCTCACATGTCATTCCTATGCTAGTAATGAATATAACCTTGTGCATGTTTATTTTATTTAGTGGCTGGAATGATTGTTTAAGATTTACCCTTTGCTTTAGACTTGCTTTTACCCCTGGCAACCCCATGGCATTTCAGGTCGAGGTCTTGCTGTCGGTATTTTACAATAAAATCACAGGTGACACTTAATATGATTGTTCTGCTCTCAGTGTGTTGGGATCCAGAGGTTTGCCCTCCAGAGGGCGATGTGGATCCCTTCCTGAGGGTTTCTGCTGTCGGTTGGGATCCAGAGGCTTGCCCACCAGAGGGCGCCGTGGATCCTCTCCTGAGAGCTGGTGCTCATTTGAAGCAGCTGTTTATGCTCTCCCTATTTAAGCTGGGTGAGAGCTTCCCTCTGGGCCGGATTGTTAAACAGTTTTTTGTTAAGCAAGCTTGTGCCACCCTGCCTGTTCTGACCCCGTAAACCTGTTTTCCTGTAAACCTGTAAACCTGAACCTAACCTGCCTTGTCCTTTCTGCCTCCCAGGTAGAAACCTGTGTTCATCCAATAAAATATTGGACTTTTATCCTGCCTCTGAGTCTGTGAGTTCTGCATCTGGGCTAGTAAACCTGCTGATCATGACACAGTGGAGGTGGTCGCATTTTCCTGCTGCTCCTACACCTCCCCTTTTCTTTTTTCATATCAGCCGAATCAAATATGGATCTGGTCAGCTGGTGTCTCAATGCAATTGATCAAATACAGACAGGGTAAAGGGGACCCGCCCTGTCCTGCCAGGACATACTTCATGGGATACACCCTAGACTCCTGGAAGGATTGGAGAACGGTGTGTTTTTTTTACGATCGTGTCAGTGCAGGACGTCAAAAGCATATTCATGTTTGGATGCATGATACTCAAAATTCTTCTCTTTGGATTTGGAGGGTACCTGATCTGAGGATGCCAGTGTAACGGACGCTGAAACCTGGACCCAATATTCAGCAGACAAACTGAATTTCAAACAAGTTTATTGAAATAACAAAATGAGGGCGACAAAAACTCCTCGGTGTGGGTTCTTGGATTCTCTGTTGAGACAGAAAAGTCAGGTCAGTGACGAGAATGATGAGCGGAAAAGACTACAAAAGTCACTGACCTGGTTGAAAGTTCAGTACGATACTGAGAGAGGAGAAACCCGGGGGGAGATTGTCCACCGCTTGCAGTCGTTTGGACTTCAGAGCACAGAGGGCGGGGGAGCTGGTGCCAGCCGACACGGAGCAAGCAATGGCTTCCTTAAGGGATAATCCAAAGCCGAAATCCAGTCCAGAACAATTTCAGAAACCAGGTTACCAGAGAGCCGAAGAGGTATGCAGGGAGAAACCAAGCCGACGTCAGTAAAACAGTCCAAGTCTGGTGACCAGCAAAACCCAGGAAGTCAGACCAAAAATCACACTGTGCAGAACAGACAGGAAAAAAGACGAAAACCGAAAATACAAGGGCACAAAGCCAATCAGAATTTACCAACACAGACAACTTACTTTGAACGCTAGAGTTACTCACACGAGACAGGTTGAACAATCAGGTGCCGATGGCAGCAGAGCAAACAGCATAAATAACTGCTGGGACCAGGTGAATTAGATTGGCAGTAATTAGTCACAGGGCCAATTAGGCAGGTGAGCAGAAGCAGATGGAAAAAGCCAACCACCAGTGCCAGGATTATGACAGTCAGTGGCAATTTGGGCGATGATTAGGCTTCGGGCCGCGGTTGATGCACTCACGCAGGCTGGAAAAGAGCAGGCCGTTACCTGAGTAGCAAGCTGGATGCGATGGAACGCAAGCTGGCTGCACTTGTTGAACTCAAAGGTGAGATGGGATAAAATCTTGGATGTGTTCAGAGGCTTTTGAATCACTGCTGCACTTTATTAAATGGAAATTTTCATTTCACTGCTAAACTGCTGCTCATTTATTGTCTGAAAGCTGTACAAAACGAGATTTTGTTTTGCATACACTCTGTGTGTAAGAAATTACAATATTAGTTGGCCAAGTCATGACTACATTATTTATGGTGTATTTATTTGCTTGCACATGCGCAAATGAGCTGATGGTACAAATTGTGCTTCCGGGTAGTGAAACGCCTAATGGAAGTGTTCTTTGGCATACATGGCCTCAATCATTCACCTGGGTTCAAATCTCTGAATAGGGCGTGGGCGTCATGACGTAATTAGTTTGCGTCGCCGCCATCTTGAATGCGTCTTTTACCGCTGCTCATACTACTGCCTATGACTACCGCGTACTGTACTCCCTCTCAGCCATGTTTTAATTTGATTAATTTCACCTTAACTTGATTTCAACCATGGTAAACCGTTGCTGTAGTGTGGGTTGTAACAGCGCAACACATGATCGCCATGGGAAAAACATAGAAATTGGGTTAACTTTCCACCACTTTCCTGCCTGGAGGCGCAAACACAGAGACCAAGTGTCAGAGATAACAAAGAGTTGTCGGCTAGCTTGGATCGCAGCTGTAAGACGACCAAACATAACTTTCCACAGTATCCCGATGTCAGTGAGAGTGTGTTCCCTGCACTTTCATTCTGGTAAGTTAAAGATGCACGGTTTTATTTTACACCTTTGAAACACATAGCAGCTAGTTAAAAGTACTTTACATGCGTGAGTGGTTGTTAGCACTAACGTTTAGCAGTTACTCAACTACCAGAGCCCGTCTGAGCACAGCTTACCTTTGTAGAGATTACTGTGTTCCCACTGTTTGCTGTCTTTATGATCTGCAGCTCCTGAACCCATCCATTTGTGAACTGCACCTGAGACTCCGAGGACTTGTAGCTTCGGAACTGTTTTAAAGTATAGGCGCTCATACAAGAAACAAGGTAGCCGAAGAAGTCTGATATACAAAACTGTGGAAAAAAGTTGTCGTTGGTGCTCCGCTCATTGTTTGGATCTTCATATAGATCCAAATTATTAATAATGCTGATTTTGTCAACATACCGGTCCCTGGCTTCTCTTTTTAATGTGTCCCAGTAAATTCCAGATGCTTTTCGGGATTTTAAGATCTTTTTTCTCTCTACGTCTACATCTCTTCGTTCAACAACGTTGTATCAGAGCTATGTTAACGTTTGCGTAGCCATCAACATGGCCACCACATCCCACAATGCAACGCAGATCCCAAGCCCTATAAGCTGCCAGTGTGGGGCCCTTAGGCAAGACCCTTTACGCTAATGCCTACTTAGTAAGTTGCTTTTGATAAAGCGTCTGCTAAATGCATAAACATAAACAACATAAACATGTAGCTTATGAAATGTATGTGATGAAAAGTTTGTATAGGAACTTTAATCTTGGTTACAATGCAAATTGTAGTTGACAATAAAGATTGATTGATTGATTGGATTAATTGATAACATCACGAACTGCTATTAAATTGTTCTGAAAAAGCCCTGAAAAAGCTCTGAAAAAAAGAGTCCACTTTGGTTCATCCAGATGCAGCTCTGATTCTGTCAGATTTGGCAAAACCTTGTAAATCTGAGCATCCACAAAGCATTGATGCTGGGGAGTAAGGCAGTGACAGACCTGGCTTTGTGCTGCAGGTAATTAACACTCATATTAGAACTAAATTAAAACAGCGTTTTTAAAAGATACCTAAAGACATCTTAAGAGCATCCCTTATTCCTACCTTTGTTAATATTGTTTATCTCTGAATTCCATTTTAAGGGAAAACGCTTCACCTACAACCATTCCCTGATTGGCTGCTGTGTCGCGATTTTATAAAAAAGTTTGCCACAGCCACTACGCACCATAAGAGTCTTCTCCAGATCCGGTTCAAGGCAGTCCAATATCGAAGACACTTCCTGCCACCAGCCATCAACACCTATAACATCTTGTTGGAAAAATGCCCATTAGTTACTGATAAAACATGGTGGGACAAGTTGTAAAAAAATGAATATTTTTTGGTTACACTTTAACATAACCATTACCTATAAATCTTAAAGATGTCATGATTTTACTAAAGTTCTGACCCAAATGCAGAAGACAAAACAGGGAGACCAGGGAGAAGGTTTTACAGGTTTTATTGAAGAGATAATGCTGAGAGAAGTGTTGCTCTGAACACTGCTCAACCGGAACTGAAAAGTGAGGGGAAGACACAGCGATTAGTTCAGGCTCAGTGGGAGATTTGATTTGTGAACTTGGAGAAGAGAATCTGGTTGCTGACTCACATTTCCAGAGAAGTTATTGAATCTTTGACTCCAGTTGCTGTTGTTCCAGTGTTTGTCTGATTCGGTGGAGGGCGGAACAGGGTTTACCCAGAATGTTGTTGTTTGTAGGTGAACAGAGAAGCTGACTGCCACTCAGATTTCCTGCGGTACTTGAACGGCTCATAGTGGAGATGAATCCCCTTCTCAGTGTGAAGCTCAAACGATCTCTTGGGGAAAGTGGGTCCAAACCTCCTGTTTGTAATCCCAGCTCAGCTTGAAGCTCAGATGATCCTTCCAGGGAGAGAAGATCAGAAAAATCCAGTATGCAGGATGACTTCCTGCCGAGAGGCAAAGACAAAAAACAATGTTTAAACTCAGGTTGGCGAGAACTCAGTTTGACTCAGCAAAAACTCAACTTGGCTAGAGTACCCAAAACTGGCAAACACTCTGGCGTCGAGGTAGTGGCAGCTCCGTTAACGAGGAAACCATCAGCAGGTGTGTGAGGAGGCAGACCAGAACCAGGCGCCTCCTGGTGGAGGAAGGGAGACAAACACAGAACACAAACACACAGACAGGAGTCCTGACAAAAGAGACCATTTATCAATGATTAACAGATAGTATATTAAAGTTAGATTAACAAAACAGAACAGTATTGGTCTTTTATTTTCATTACATTCAATTTTGTAGCCTTGATCCTTTGGATCTATTCCATTCCTTTTCTTTACAAATTCTATTTTACTAATTATTCTTATTCAAAAACAATAAGGTTACAGCTTCAGTGGTAATGAGATATGATCCCAGTTTTCATCTGTTAAATGTTTTTTTTTCACAACAAAAAAAATGCTCTAATTTTTACAGATGAATTTAACAGTTTTTCTTGAGTTCTAATTCAAATTAATAGAAAATAGTAGTTTTAACTTAAATAAAGTAAAATGTATATTGACCTCATAAGAAATAGAAATTCTATTAAACCTAATTGAAAAGAAATTTCACTTCATGCAGCTCTCTTAATATATTTGAATCCCTTGCCCTGTTTTTTTTATTTCATGTGCCCCCATGAATACATGCTGGCCCCCTCCTGGCCCCCCTGGTACATTTGGTCTAGATCCACCACTGTTCCTCACCTTCACTAGACGTGGATATACTTTAGTACACATGTGTCAAACTCAAGGCCCGCGGGCCACATGTGGCCCGCTACGTGATTTTATGGGGCCCTCTCCCCCCACCACCGTTTTACAGGGCTATTGATTGACTTAAAATAGGTTTTGAGCACAAATTGACCACAAACTACATCTCCCATAATGCCTTCTGATTGTTACCAGACACGATTAGGGCTTCTCGCCACTAGAGTGCAGCAGAGTCACCTCAAGCTGATTATTAATTTTCCCAGAGAATAAAACTGAAACATCGACAAGCTAACATCAAAATGTCTAAGAAGAGAAAAATCGATTTACAAGGAAGACTGTTTCATGAACGATGGGAAAACGAATACCTCTTTGTACTACAAGGTGAAAAACCAGTATGTGTTTTGCAGAGATGGCAAAAGTACTCACTTTCTGTACTTGAGTAAAAGTACAGATACTTGTGTTAAAAAATACTCTGGTAAAAGTGGAAGTACTGATTAAACTTCTTTACTCAAGTAAAAGTAACAAAGTACAGGCTTGTAAATTTACTTAAAGTATAAAAGTAAAAGTAGAAACCACTTTTTTCATGCCGTTGCCTACATTTTAAATGGATGTCTGCCAATAGGACTAGATCTCCGTTGTGTTCATTTTCAATCATCTCGTCGTCCATGCTACTATGCTAACGCCACCGCCACCAAGCTGCAATGATTTGCCGCGAATGAATACCGCCGAATCTGTCGATTCATCTTGTAGTGGTGCGTCAAATGCAACGTAGACTCCCATCCAATTAGATTGAATTTGGTATTGATGATGTGAAAAATAATAACGGTAACTCCATTGAAATGATTCAAAACTAAAGTAACGAGCCATTTTTTTAAAATGTAAAGAGTAGAAAGTACAGATATTTGTGTAAAAATGTAAGGAGTAGAAGTAAAAAGTCGCCATAAAAATAAGTAGTAAAGTAAAGTAAAAATATCA